AAAGTGACGTGACATTACATTAAGTGCGACACATAGTAAACGTCATGTGTGTGGTATTTACGAGAGGTATGATTATGATGCAACGTATTACCCTCAATTTTTAAGATCTCGATATCTACTCTAGTTTATTTTAACACATCTCACTCCGTCAATCTATTGAATTTCTCTTTCTTGTTCTTACTATTTCTTTGCATACCAAAATTCATCACCTTGTCCTCTGCCATTTTATTTTCGTGAAGTTATCTAATCAAATGGTTCTGCATGTTTGAGTTTGTGGTCACACTTTTCCAGCTTGTCCATTATTTTTTCTCATGTTCTTTGATTGCTGCATCATATTCTATCTTCATTCATTTTATATCCGTTTAAATCTGGTCGCACTAGGTTTCATACGTGCTGTCTTTTACTTTTTTAATAACCCACCATTTCATTACAGCATCCGAACTGGCCCTCGGAGCTTTCAGAATGGTGATATGGTTGTCGTTCATGTTCCAGTATTTGAAGGATCTACCCATGATCATCCCTCTTTATCAGTGGCCGTTTGTCTTGTTCCATTCCCTGAAAAATGCTGTTCGGAGATTGGCGAGCGTTTCCTATGGATTTTGGCTCTTTCTGATGGGTCGTTCAAGTTCGTCGCAAAAATGTTCCATTGGCGATAATCTGGAGACATTGCTGGCCACAGCAACACACGAATGTGATTATTCCCCAAAAAATCATTGAAATGTGTGCCACGTGACAACGGGCGTTGTCCTGCTGAGAAACGTGGTCAAAACGATGCCTTCGGAGAAACGGGAGAACGAGTGGAGCCAAATTTCGTTCCTATACCTTTTTGCATTTAGGTTACCTTCAATAATTGTCAGATCGGTGCGTTCCTGGTAGGTTATTCCGTCCCATACAATAATTCCGCCACCCTCAAACAGATCCGTTTCCTGTACGCACGCATCAGAAAATCATGCATTGCACCTCCGGTAGACACTGGCTTTGCCGTCGCTAAATGTCAAGTTGAATTTCTATTCATCGGTAAAAAGGACTTGTCTCCATGTTAGCCTATTCCATCGAATCCGTACCCGCGTCCATTCAAGTCGTGACATCCTGTGACGTTGCGTAAGGATAGGTCCCTTCAACGGACGATGAGCTCTTAGGCAAACTTGATGCAGTCGGTTACAAACTGTGTGGGAATAAAGCCTGTTTTGGTTTCTTCCATGAGTTTGTCGTGCTGTTTGTGACAAGTTTACAAATCGATTCCGGAGATGAATAATGCGGATGTGACTGATTTGCCGTAACTTCGTTTCACGTTGCCTGCAACCTCGGGGACGATTATTTGTCGTGCCAGTATCTCTAAGACGAGTCTTAAGCCTTTCAATATTCATTCTAGAGACATTGGGATGATTTGCAACCTGTATTAGAGTCATTTTTGCTGCCAAAAACACAATAGCTCGTTCTCTCTCATTATGACGTAGACGTGGCATTGACTTACGTGTAACTTTTTCAATTTTTTAATGCGACCTTTTGTTAACAATAGTGCTCGACACATTTAATGACCAAAAGGACAACTCAATTCCATCTTGATACAAGTAAATGTTTGAAAAAATGCTTATTTGTTTAAAATCAGAAAATGACGTAACGTCGTCTTCGAATTTTTAACAAATTAGTAAATGATAGATAAATCATTCAGGTCACTGGTTTTAATCTTGAAAATATTATAAATTAATATATGTAAATTCTTTTAATTAAAAACCAGGGTAACGTTTCTATTTTTGCCTAGTAAACATTTATTTATATCAGACAATGCACGCACGTGGACGATGGACTTATACCGTCTTTAAGAATGTGGCGCTTGGATTGTCAATGATAAAGTTAACTGGTCTGTATGTAGTTTTACTATCATATCTTTTTAACAACTCAGTACTCTTTGTCGATTTTGTTTTATTCTGGTACAAAACCTCTGATATAAATAGACTTTTGAAAATAATACAAAGTAGACTGTCTATTAAGTCTGTAATAGAATATAGATTTTTAGGTTGTATACCAGCTGGCCTTCGCACTAAAGTTCCTTCATCTTCATCGTTTTCTTTTTCGAAATACCCTTGAAAAAAATTCAGCCAGTGTTCAGCCTTCTTTTTATCAGTACTTACATAACACATTTTACAATCTCTTTCATCATATAATTCGGATGGGGGAATTTGGATTTTCATTTCGACTTCATATGACAAGAAATTCTTCTTTGCTGACTCTGATATGTCTTTTTCACGATTTTCACGTTCTTGTCTGACATTTGAGTTGGCTTTGTTCCTCACTAAATTTTAGTTCCTTTCGACATAATTAAATATAGCACCTCTTGAAGCTTTGCGCAAACTATGCGCCTGTGTGCACTCTACAAGACCTTTATAGTCTTACCCCGCGACATCCCTCATTATTTTTTCCAGAGGCTATGGAATAGGCAAATTCCAGTTGTTTATTCCCAATTTTTTTTTGAAATTCCGAGCCCTAGTTTCAGTTTTTGGACAAAGCGCAACTCGAAACCTTGCGCAAACCATGCGCCTGTTTCTCCTCTACAACACCTATATAGCTATACCCCGTGAAACTCCACATTATTTTTTTCTCTAGAAGCCATTGAATAGGTGTAATACCACCAATTAATGCATGGTACGTCACATCCGGTTGCATACGAAAATAGGTCGAAAAAATATTCCCTGGAATTTGACAGTTGTAGGTAATTAATTCATCATTTTATTGCAAAGCATCACTTTTTTTTATTTTGGGTTTCTGTAGAATATTTTGGAAACTTGAGGTTGCATGGTTACTAAAGCTTGTACACAGGTTATATAAGGGGGAAAATTTGATTGGTTAACTGACAGTAATGGTTATTTTCTTATATGCAATGAAATTTTATGTGAATTTTTTTCTATAGTACTGGACAGGATAAAACTTTACTCATGCCAAGTATTTTTTTAATTTGAAACAAAGATAAATTCTGCACAATTTTTTGAAAAGTGCAAATTTTAAAAATAGGGGAAAATCAATGGTGGTATTATACCTAATATGGGGTGCTGTATATGCACCTTTGACCTTGTGAGTACTCTCATGTGTTAAAATTTCTTGCTATTCAAGTGAAATATTACAAATAATGAAATATTCTGAGTGGATTGAGTCTCCAAAACATATTTTATGAGAACATTTCCTTGAAATTGAACTCTACCATGAATATTAGTTAACAGAACAAGCCATACTTCACGGTGTTTTGGGGAGCTTTTTCTCCTTTTTTTCTTATATTCTGCTATATTAGAAAGTTTTCTCTCAGAAATATTTTAATAAATAAATAATTATAAGTAAATGTGATTATTTTTTAAAGCAGTACCAACAAATTATTCACTAATAGAGAAGCTTTTTATGTCCCTCTCTGGGACGCAGCGTAAATTTAAGTTTTACGTAAGGACTTATTAAAACCTCCAGTAAACTTTTATATGGATTGTTCATTCTGCTTGAATACTTCAATTACTCAATGTAATTTATTATAACATTTCTATCATAAATGAGTGAAAGTTACTTCATTATTTTTAATTATTGGCCTGAAAAGTTGAAATTTTGAGGAAATGACATGTATAAATGGACCAAAAGAGACCTTATCAAGAAGACAAAGGATCCATTAGTGGTATTTATCATCCTAAAGTCATCTTTTGTATCAAATTCAACTGTTTGTAGACAGATGAGATAAATATTTAATCATTATTGGTCCACACTATATTCTATCATGATGCGGCTTGGTTTGGATTTTTCGAAGAAATTTTGCACGAATCGCTGAAGATGTCGTCGTACATTATACTAGATTTTTCTCAAACTATTGAAATGATTATGACAAAACATGACAGGAATGCTTGAAAAAAACAGTATTACAAAGGAAAAAATCCCTTTCAGTTTATTGAATAAAAATGTCTTCTTCAGGTGTAATACCACCAAATCATGGCACGTCACATCCGGTTGCATACAAAAATAGGTCGAAAAAAATATTCCCTTGAATTTGACAGTTGTAGGTAATTAATCCATCATTTTATTGCAGTAAAATATTTCTGGGTCATAAACATATACATGTATCTTGGGTATTTCAAAGAATCATTATTGTTTTATTTGGGGTTTCTATAGAATATTTTGGAAACTTGAGGTTGCATGGTTACTAAAGCTTGTACAAAGGTTAAATAAGGGGCAAATTTGATTGGTTAACTGACAGTGATAGTTATTTTCTTATATGCAATGAAATGTTATGCTAAACAAAGATAAATTCTCCACATTTTTTTTGAAAACTGCAAATTTAAAAAAAAAAAAAAAAAGAAAATCAATGGAGGTATTACACCAATAGGCCAACCCCCTCTGTTTTTTCCTTCTTTTTTTAAATTTTGAGCCCTAGTTTCAGATTTTTTAACATAGCGCCATTCGATACCTTGCGCAAGAGATGCGCATTTTTCTCCTCTACAAGACCTATATAGTCATAACCCGTGACATCCCTCCTTATTTTTCTCTAGAAGCCATGCAATAGGCCAACCCCCTGTTTTTCATATTTTTTTTTTCAAATTTTGAGCTCTAGTTTCAGATTTTTGAACAAAGCGCCCTTCGATACCTTGCGCAAAAGATGCGCCTGTTTCTCCTCTACAAGACCTATATAGTCATACACTGTGACACCCCTCATTATGTTTCTGTGGAAGCCATGAAATAGGCCAACCCCCCTGTTTTTAACATTTTTTTTTCAAATTTTGAGCTCTAGTTTCAGATTTTTGAACATAGCGCCAATCGATACCTTGCGCAAAAGATGCGCCTGTTTCTCCTCTACAAGACCTATATAGTCATATCCAGTGACACCCCTCATTATTTTTCTTTAGAAACCATGGAATAGGCCATTCCCCCTGTTTTTAACCATTTTTTTTCAAATTTTGAGCTTTAGTTTCAGATTTTTGAACATAGCGCCCTTCGATACCTTGCGCAAGAGATGCGCCTTTTTCTCCTCTACAAGACCTATATAGTCATAACCCGTGACATCCCTCCTTATTTTTCTCTAGAAGCCATGCAATAGGCCAACCCCCTGTTTTTTTAATTATTTTTTTTAAATTTTGAGCTCTAGTTTCAGATTTTTGAACATACCGCCCTTCGATACCTTGCGCAAAAGATGCGCCTTTTTCTCCTCTACAAGGCCTATATAGTCAAACCCCGTGACACCCCTCATTATTTTTCTCTAGAAGCCATGGAATAGGCCAACCCCCCTGTTTTTAACATTTTTTTTTCAAATTTTGAGCTCTAGTTTCAGATTTTTGAACATAGCGCCAATCGATACCTTGCGCAAAAGATGCGCCTGTTTCTCTTCTACAAGACCTATATAGACATACCCCGTGACACCATTCATTATTTTTCTCTAGAAACCAAGGAATAGGCCAACCCCCCTGTTTTTAACAATTTTTTTCAAATTTTGAGCTCTAGTTTCAGATTTTTTAACATAGCGCCCTTCAAAACCTTGCGCAAGAGATGCGCCTGTTTCTCTTCTACAAGACCTTTATTGTCATACCCCGTGACACCCCTCATTATTTTTCTCTAGAAGCCATGGAATAGGCCAACCCCCTGTTTTTAACAAATTTTTTTCAAATTTTGAGCTCTAGTTTCAGATTTTTGAACATAGCGCCCTTCGATACCTTGCGCAAAAGATGCGCCTGTTTCTCCTCTACAAGACCTATATAGTCATACCCCGTGACACCCCTCATTATTTTTCTGTGGAAGCCATGGAATAGGCCAACCCCCTGTTTTTAACAATTTATTTTTCAAATTTTTAGCTCTAGTTTCAGATTTTTGAACATAGCGCCCTTCGATACCTTGCGCAAAAGATGCGCCTGTTTCTCTTCTACAAGGCCTATATAGTCAAACCCCGTGACACCCCTCATTATTTTTCTCTAGAAGCCATGGAATAGGCCAACCCCCCTGTTTTTAACATTTTTTTTCAAATTTTGAGCTCTAGTTTCAGATTTTTGAACATAGCGCCAATCGATACCTTGCGCAAAAGATGCGCCTATTTCTCTTCTACAAGACCTATATAGTCAAACCCGGTGACATCCCTCCTTATTTTTCTCTAGAAGCCATGCAATAGGCCAACCCCCTGTTTTTCATATTTTTTTTTTCAAATTTTGAGCTCTAGTTTCAGATTTTTGAACATAGCGCCCTTCGATACCTTGCGCAAAAGATGCGCCTGTTTCTCCTCTACAAGACCTATATAGTCATACACCGTGACACCCCTCATTATTTTTCTGTGGAAGCCATGGAATAGGCCAACCCCCTGTTTTTAACAATTTATTTTTCAAATTTTGAGCTCTAGTTTCAGATTTTTGAACATAGCGCCCTTCGATACCTTGCGCAAGAGATGCGCCTGTTTCTCCTCTACAAGACCTATATTGTCATACCCCGTGACACCCCTCATTATTTTTCTATAGAAGCCATGGAATAGGCCAACCCCCCTGTTTTTAACATTTTTTTTCAAATTTTGAGCTCTAGTTTCAGATTTTTGAACATAGCGCGCTTCGATACCTTGCGCAAAAGATGCGCCTGTTTCTCCTCTACAAGACCTATATAGTCAAACCCCGTGACATCCCTCCTTATTTTTCTCTAGAAGCCATGCAATAGGCCAACCCCCTGTTTTTCATATTTTTTTTTTCAAATTTTGAGCTCTAGTTTCAGATTTTTGAACATAGCGCCCTTCGATACCTTGCGCAAAAGATGCGCCTGGTTCTCCTCTACAAGACCTATATAGTCATACACCGTGACACCCCTCATTATTTTTCTGTGGAAGCCATGAAATAGGCCAACCCCCCTGTTTTTAACATTTTTTTTCAAATTTTGAGCTCTAGTTTCAGATTTTTGAACATAGCGCCAATCGATACCTTGCGCAAAAGATGCGCCTGTTTCTCCTCTACAAGACCTATATAGTCATATCCCGTGACACCCCTCATTATTTTTCTTTAGAAACCATGGAATAGGCCATTCCCCCTGTTTTTAACCATTTTTTTTCAAATTTTGAGCTCTAGTTTCAGATTTTTGAACATAGCGCCCTTCGATACCTTGCGCAAGAGATGCGCCTTTTTCTCCTCTACAAGACCTATATAGTCATAACCCGTGACATCCCTCCTTATTTTTCTCTAGAAGCCATGCAATAGGCCAACCCCCTGTTTTTTTAATTATTTTTTTTTAATTTTGAGCTCTAGTTTCAGATTTTTGAACATACCGCCCTTCGATACCTTGCGCAAAAGATGCGCCTTTTTCTCCTCTACAAGGCCTATATAGTCAAACCCCGTGACACCCCTCATTATTTTTCTCTAGAAGCCATGGAATAGGCCAACCCCCCTGTTTTTAACATTTTTTTTTCAAATTTTGAGCTCTAGTTTCAGATTTTTGAACATAGCGCCCTTTGATACCTTGCGCAAAAGATGCGCCTGTTTCTCTTCTACAAGACCTATATAGACATACCCCGTGACACCCCTCATTATTTTTCTCTAGAAACCAAGGAATAGGCCAACCCCCCTGTTTTTAACAATTTTTTCAAATTTTGAGCTCTAGTTTCAGATTTTTTAACATAGCGCCCTTCAAAACCTTGCGCAAGAGATGCGCCTGTTTCTCTTCTACAAGACCTATATTGTCATACCCCGTGACACCCCTCATTATTTTTCTCTAGAAGCCATGGAATAGGCCAACCCCCTGTTTTTAACAAATTTTTTTCAAATTTTGAGCTCTAGTTTCAGATTTTTGAACATAGCGCCCTTCGATACCTTGCGCAAAAGATGCGCCTGTTTCTCCTCTACAAGACCTTTATAGTCATACCCCGTGACACCCCTCATTATTTTTCTGTGGAAGCCATGGAATAGGCCAACCCCCTGTTTTTAACAATTTATTTTTCAAATTTTGAGCTCTAGTTTCAGATTTTTGAACATAGCGCCCTTCGATACCTTGCGCAAGAGATGCGCCTGTTTTTCCTCTACAAGGCCTATATAGTCAAACCCCGTGACACCCCTCATTATTTTTCTCTAGAAGCCATGGAATAGGCCAACCCCCCTGTTTTTAACATTTTTTTTCAAATTTTGAGCTCTAGTTTCAGATTTTTGAACATAGCGCCAATCGATACCTTGCGCAAAAGATGCGCCTGTTTCTCTTCTACAAGACCTATATAGACATACCCCGTGACACCCCTCATTATTTTTCTCTAGAAACCAAGGAATAGGCCAACCCCCTGTTTTTAACAATTTTTTTCAAATTTTGAGCTCTAGTTTCAGATTTTTTAACATAGCGCCCTTCAAAACCTTGCGCAAGAGATGTGCCTGTTTCTCTTCTACAAGACCTATATTGTCATACCCCGTGACACCCCTCATTATTTTTCTGTAGAAGCCATGGAATAGGCCAACCCCCCTGTTTTTAACATTTTTTTTCAAATTTTGAGCTCTAGTTTCAGATTTTTGAACATAGCGCCCTTCGATACCTTGCGCAAAAGATGCGCCTGTTTCTCTTCTACAAGACCTATATAGCCATACCCCGTGACACCCTTCATTATTTTTCCCTAGAAGCCATTGAATAGGCCAACCCCCTGTTTTTAACAATTTTTTTTTCAAATTTTGAGCTCTAGTTTCAGATTTTTGAACATAGCGCCCTTCAATACCTTGCGCAAAAGATGCGCCTGTTTCTCCTCTACAAGACCTATATAGTCATACCCCGTGACACCACTCATTATTTTTTTCTAGAAACCATGGAATAGGCCAACCCCCCTGTTTTTAACAATTTTTTTTCAAATTTTGAGCTCTAGTTTCAGATTTTTGAACAAAGCGCGCTTCGATACCTTGCGCAAAAGATGCGCCTGTTTCTCCTCTACAAGACCTATATAGTCATACCCCGTGACACCCCTCATTATTTTTCTTTAGAAACCATGGAATAGGCCATTCCCCCTGTTTTTAACAATTTTTTTTCAAATTTTGAGCTCTAGTTTCAGATTTTTGAACATAGCGCCCTTCGATACCTTGCGCAAGAGATGCGCCTTTTTCTCCTCTACAAGACCTATATAGTCATAACCCGTGACATCCCTCCTTATTTTTCTCTAGAAGCCATGCAATAGGCCAACCCCCTGTTTTTTTAATTATTTTTTTTAAATTTTGAGCTCTAGTTTCAGATTTTTGAACATAGCGCCCTTCGATACCTTGCGCAAAAGATGCGCCTGTTTCTCCTCTACAAGACTTATATAGTCATACCCTGTGACACCCCTCATTATTTTTCTCTAGAAGCCATGGAATAGGCCATTTCCCCTTTTTTTAACAATTTTTTTTCAAATTTTGAGCTCTAGTTTCAGATTTTTGAACATAGCGCCCTTTGATACCTTGAGCAAAAGATGCGCCTGTTTCTCCTCTACAAGACCTATATAGTCATACCCCGTGACACCCCTCATTATTTTTCTCTAGAAACCATGGAATAGGCCAACCCCCGTGTTTTTAACAATTTTTTTTCAAATTTTGAGCTCTAGTTTCATATTTTTGAACATAGCGCCGTTCGATACCTCGCACAAGAGATGCGCCTGTTTCTCTTCTACAAGACCTATATAGTCATACTCCGTGACACCCCTCATTATTTTTCTCTAGAAGCCATGGAATAGGCCAACCCCCCTGTTTTTAACACTTTTTTTCAAATTTTGAGCTCTAGTTTCAGATTTTTGAACATAGCGCCGTTCGATACCTCGCACAAGAGATGCGCCTGTTTCTCTTCTACAAGACCTATATAGTCATACTCCGTGACACCCCTCATTATTTTTCTCTAGAAGCCATGGAATAGGCCAACCCCCCTGTTTTTAACACTTTTTTTCAAATTTTGAGCTCTAGTTTCAGATTTTTGAACATAGCGCCCTTCGATACCTTGCGCAAGAGATACGCCTGTTTCTCCTCTACAAGACCTATATAGGCATACCCCGTGACACCCCTAAATTTTTTTCTCTAGAAGCCATGGAATAGGCTAACCCCCTGTTTGTAACAATTTTTTTCAAATTTTGAGCTCTAGTTTCAGATTTTTGAACATAGCACCCTTCGATACCTTGCGCAAGAGATGCGCCTGTTTCTCTTCTACAAGACCTATATTGTCATACCCCGTGACACCCCTCATTATTTTTCTGTAGAAGCCATGGAATAGGCCAACCCCCCTGTTTTTAACATTTTTTTTTCAAATTTGAGCTCTAGTTTCAGATTTTTGAACATAGCGCCTTTCGAAACCTTGAGCAAGAGATGCGCCTGTTTCTCTTCTACAAGACCTATATAGTCATACCCCGTGACACCCCTCATTATTTTTCCCTAGAAGCATTGAATAGGCCAACACCCTGTTTTTAACAATTTTTTTTTTCAAATTTGGAGCTCTAGTTTCAGATTTTTGAACATAGCACCCTTCAATACCTTGCGCAAGAGATGCGCCTGTTTCTCCTCTACAAGACCTATATAGTCATACCCCGTGACATCCTTCATTATTTTTCTCTAGAAGCCATGGAATAGGCTAACCCCCTGTTTTTAATATTTTTTTTTTCAAATTTTGAGCTCTAGTTTCAGATTTTTGAACATAGTGCCCTTCGTTACCTTGCGCAAAAGATGCGCTTGTTTCTCTTCTACAAGACCTATATAGTCTTACCCCGTGACACCCCTCATTATTTTTCTCTAGAAGCCATGGAATAGGCCATTCCCCCTGTTTTTAACAATTTTTTTTCAAATTTTGAGCTCTAGTTTCAGATTTTTTAACATAGCACCCTTCGATACCTTGCGCAAAAGATGCGCCTGTTTCTCCTCTACAAGACCTATATAGTCATACCCCGTGACACCCCTCATTATTTTTCTGTGGAAGCCACGGAATATGCCAACCCCCCTGTTTTTAACAATTTTTTTTTCAAATTTTGAGCTCTAGTTTCAGATTTTTGAACATAGCGCCCTTCAATAGCTTGCGCAAAAGATGCGCCTGTTTCTCCTCTACAAGGCCTATATAGTAATACCCCGTGACACCCCTCATTATTTTTCTCTAGAAGCCATGGAATAGGCCAACCCCCCTGTTTTTAACATTTTTTTTTCAAATTTTGAGCTCTAGTTTCAGATTTTTTAACATAGCGCGCTTCGATACCTTGCGCAAAAGATGCGCCTGTTTCTCTTCTACAAGACCTATATAGTCATACCCCGTGACACTCCTCATTATTTTTCTCTAGAAGCCATGGAATAGGCCAACCCCCCTGTTTTTAACACTTTTTTTTCAAATTTTGAGCTCTAGTTTCAGATTTTTGAACATAGCGCCCTTCGATACCTTGCGCAAAAGATGCGCCTGTTTCTCCTCTACAAGACCTATATAGACATACCCCGTGACATCCCTCATTATTTTTCTCTAGAAACCATGGAATAGGCCAACCCCCCTGTTTTAACAATTTTTTTCAAATTTTGAGCTCTAATTTCAGATTTTTGAACATAGCGCCCTTCGATACCTTGCGCACGAGATGCGCCTGTTTCTCCTCTACAAGACCTTTATAGTCATACCCCGTGACACCCCTCATTATTTTTCTCTAGAAGCCATGGACTAGGCCAACCCCCCTGTATTTAACAATTTTTTTCAAATTTTAGCTCTAGTTTCAGATTTTTGAACATAGCGCCCTTCGAAACCTTGCGCAAGAGATGCGCCTGTTTCTCTTCTACAAGACCTATATTGTCATACCCCGTGACACCCCTCATTTTTTTCTGTAGAAGCCATTGAATAGGCCAACCCCCCTGTTTTTAACATTTTTTTTTCAAATTTTGAGCTCTAGTTTCAGATTTTTGAACATAGCGCCCTTCGATACCTTGCGCAAAATATGCGCCTGTTTCTCTTCTACAAGACCTATATAGTCATACCCCGTGACACCCCTCATTATTTTTCCCTAGAAGCCATTGAATAGGCCAACCCCCTGTTTTTAACAATTTTTTTTTTCAAATTTTGAGCTTTAGTTTCAGATTTTCGAACATAGCGCCCTTCAATACCTTGCGCAAGAGATGCGCCTGTTTCTCCTCTACAAGACCTATATAGTCATACCCCGTGACATCCCTCATTATTTTTTCTCTAGAAACCATGGAATAGGCCAACCCCCCTGTTTTTAACAATTTTTTTTTTCAAATTTTGAGCTCTAGTTTCAGATTTTTGAACATAGCGCCCTTCGATACCTTGCGCAAAAGATGCGCCTGTTTCTCCTCTACAAGACTTATATAGTCATACCCCGTGACACCCCTCATTATTTTTCTCTAGAAGCCATGGAATAGGCCATTTCCCCTTTTTTTAACAAAAAAATTTCAAATTTTGAGCTCTAGTTTCAGATTTTTGAACATAGCGCCCTTCAATACCTTGCGCAAAAGATGCGCCTGTTTCTCCTCTACAAGACCTATATAGTCATACCCCGTGACACCCCTCATTATTTTTTCTCTAGAAACCATGGAATAGGCCAACCCCCCTGTTTTTAACAATTTTTTTTTTTCAAATTTTGAGCTCTAGTTTCAGATTTTTGAACATAGCGCCCTTCGATACCTTGCGCAAAAGATGCGCCTGTTTCTCCTCTACAAGACCTATATAGTCATACCCCGTGACACCCCTCATTATTTTTCTCAAGAAGCCATGGAATAGGCCAACCCCCATTTCTGCAAATGTGTATCTTAGTTCAATTAAACAATGACATCAAAGGTGCTGTATTTTACAGGGAAGGACTACTTTTACATACGTACTAAATGGAAGTGGGTGCATTGGTGGTTTTACACCTACAAATAATCCGTTGACAGATGCAGATTTACTGTGGTACTGAATATTAGACTAAAAAGAGATGCGACTTGTTTTATCAATGGATGGGATAAATACCATTTCATGATAGAGTTGAAATTGCAATATTTGGACGGAATTTCTGCCTGTTTAAATATTTTTCATTTAACGGCCGTTGCTGTCTTATTCATTTTTTCGGTTTTTAGATATATCGCCTTATTGTTCGCTGGCTTATTGTTCGCTAGTTATTGTTCGCTAGCTTCAGCCTGGTCATACAAAGTACATGTACAGTGAATCCTTTTCTAAAACTATATACTACGTATGAATAATGCAGTTTTTCAATTAAATACAAATAGATTCATACCTGTTGATTTTGTAAGGTGTAAATTATTTTAATCTTCGAGATTTGATTGCATTTCTGCCTCCATCAACAGTATTCAAAACAAATCCTGAATTTGGGAACTAATCTATAGTCGCGAACATTACTTAATGCCTTTTAAAATTCACATAGACGAAAACATCAAGAAAGTAAGACGATCATTATACAGCCTAATGGGTTCAGACTTGCATGGGAGGAATGGGCTAAATCCTGAAACAGTAATAACTCTTTTAAATACATATATAATGCCTATTCTGACTTATGGTTTGGAATACTACTCCCGACAGGCAGCATTTTTGAAACTATCCACCAATTCCATAGAAAATTATAAAACATATACTCTCATTGCCTCAACAAACAGCTGACCCGGCCATATACATATTAAGTGGAATGCTACCAATTGAAGCTGAAATACACCTTAAAGCTCTAACACTTTTTGAAAACATCACTACAGCCAACAAAATATCAGTTGAATGGAGATTGACAGAAAGCTTAAGACAGCTACAATTAAAATCACATACAAGTACAAGCTGGTTTATAGAAGTAAAAAAAATATGCCTAAAATATGATTTGCCCGACTGCCAGAAATTCTTAACATATCCTCTTGGAAAATTCCAATGGAAAAATCTTATTAAAGGAAAATTTATACATACTGGAGTGAAAAGATGAATAACAACTCTGAGGGTTATTCAAGTTTACAACACATAGCAGGTGCCTATAAGATCAAAGCAATCCACCCAATCCTTACAACAAACACCTCAAACTGCAGAGACATCAACAGAATACCTATCAGAACAAAAATCGCAAAAGAAAATTACATACTATAATCAAATAGAGCCAAATTCAACAAATGTGAGGTACCTCTACCTGTAAAATCTGTAATAAAGAGGACGAAACTATAGAACACTTCCTAATCTCATGTACTCCACTAAAACCGGAAAGAGAAAATCGTCTGAAATTAATACGTGAGCAGTGTCTTAGAATGTTAGAACTATTTAACATTTGTTTGGATGTAAACTTAATCCATGTGATAATCAACCCTTACTACCTTGTTAAATTCTGTGCCTGCACTCAAACTAGTGATTTATGTAGCTTTATTAGCTTGCATGTTAAACCTGATTGTAGAACACTTATATATAACCTACATATGCAAAGGTATAAGCTCCTAAACACAGGACAGAAAAACTTAAGGAAATCAAATTTAGCTAAGTATTAGTTGTGCGTGGACTGTAAATTATTATTCAAAAGAAAAAAATATTTTAAATTTCACAAGTAAGACTTAATGTGTTTTACTGGTGGAGGAATATATTGACATACTTGTATAGTGTACAGACTTTATTATTATTCTATTGGATATAATAACTTCGTACTGAAGGTGTGCCTATATTGGCGAAATATATAAAGATACAGATACAGATTGCAAAAATAAAAATGAAAAAATATGTGATTCAAGTAAAATACCTGGGTAAAATACATATAATAAGTGTGCTTGAATAATAAAATAAGCCCGTGATATCGTCATTACTAGAACTTAAGTAAAACATATTTGTGTTTCCTCAACAGATTATCATAGTTCAATTATGTATTACGAAAGACACGTTGTGCACTGACAAACCCTTAATTTAATTCTAATAAGCACCCTTGACAATAGACTTACAATTTTCTATTTTTAAAATGCAGAACTATATCATCCATATATCATTGTCATGGATGTATCATTCATACCCCTCGTCGTCATTGACATATCATCCATATCTCATTGTCATTGACATACCATCCATACCAGATTGTCATTGACATCAACCATACCCAATTCGTCATTGACATTTCATCCATTATCCAAACGTCATTGACATATCATCCAAACCCTTTTCGTCATTGACGTATCATATATACCCCTCATTATTGACTTATCATTTATACCCAATCGTCATTGACAAAGCATCCATACCCCTCTTCATTTACATATCATCTATACCACGCCATCATTGACATATCATTCATACCCCAATCGTAATTGACATATTATTCATACCCAATCATCATTGACACATCATCCATACCCCTCGTTATTGACATATCATCCATACCTCATTGTCATTGACATACTATCCATACCCCTCATCATTTACATATCTTCCATACCCCTCATCATTGACATATTATTTATACCATATCGTCATTGACATATCATCTATACCTCATTGTTATTGACATATCATTCATACCCTTCGTCAGTGAAATATCATTCCTACCCTTCTTCATTGACACATCATTCATAACTCATTGTCATATAATTATCCATACCTCATCGTTTGTAAAATTTGCTACGTGTTGACAATCAGAACTTTTTTGTATTCCGGTACATGACAAACAAGCCTGTCCTGCTCCACATACTGAAATAATGAGAAGATAACTGCATCAAACGTATCTTTTCATTGGCTACTTTCAATTACCGCATAAATATAAAATTCAGAAGGTAGAACCACTATAAGAGGCCCAGCATGATATTATAGTGCGGTACTGGCAAAAGCCCGCCCCGCATGAGATCGTACTAACAATAGTACAGCCTAGCATGAGATCATACTAACAATAGAACCCGCCCAGCATGAGATCATACTGACAATAGTACAGACCAGCATGATATCCTACTGAAATAGTACAGACCAGCTTGAGATCGTACTGACAAATGCACCGCCCAGCATGGGATCGTACTGACAATAGTACCGCCTAGCATGAGAGCATACTAACAATAGCGCCATCCAGCATGAGAACATACTGACAATAGCACCTTTTTATACAAAGCAGTTCCTTTTTTTCAGGTGTAACTTTTGGAGATATTGAAACACATTTTATACCAAATGATTTCTAAAAATGAAAGAATAATTATCATATTGAGAAGATATCCAAAAGTGTGCAGTGCATATGTACCGTCATAATACTAAAAATCCAGGCTAAAAATAAGGCATAGGAAGTTTAATTCAGTCACGGACCTGCGATGTCGCGGGTGTGTTCTAGTAGAATTTTATTATAAGAAAGTCAATCTGATTAGAGTTCAGATCTATCGTAACTCGCTTACTCGTCGAATATATAAGCATAAGGAACCAGTCTGAGAGATCTTTATTTAAATCAGAATGTATAAAAGTTGGACGAATGTATAAAGGTTGTTAATTTGGTTTTCATTTTCCTTTGGGGGGAAGGGGGCGGTGTGGGAGGAGGGGCTGTTAACAAATACTCATTGAATGGGTCTGTTCAAGTAACATTGTAAGCTTTTTAATACTTGTTAGTAGTTTTTATAGCAATCTAAATCAACTTTATACAAAATTCCAATCCAGGTATCTATGAAAGAGTTTATTTACGTCTTGAAATATTGTATTGCTTACCTGATATTGCGGTTGGATTGATATAAATTTGCCACATGTTTTATTCTGATGAATAATAAAACCCAGTTTTTGTATGTATTCTACATGGCGGAGGACATTTTAGCGCATTAATAGGACATTTTTAATGAGAGAAAAAAAGTCGGACGTTTTAGCGATTACGTATAGCCCATTTTAGTGCCAATTTGTTAACCAATTTCAACAAAAAATGAAATTATAAATGCCCATTTGAGCGACAGAAATTAAGTCTTGGTATAATAGTGCATTTTAATAATATTAAGACAGAAGACTATAGGCTAACAAATATAATGTAAATAAAAATACGGCACTAAAAGTAAAAAAGTTATCTCAAATGTTTAATTGACATTATATCCCAGTGAACCTACGTGTAACGGGATCTTGATATTGTGATAGGAAATGTTCGTTCTCCTCGTCTTGTTTAGATTGAAAAGCAAATTCAGGTGAATAATAAAACCAAATATTTCTATGTAGTCTTTTCTGGCGGAGGATATTTAGCGCCAACGTATAGCCCATTTTAGCGCCAATTTGTTAACCAATTTTAGCAAAAACTGAAATTATCAATGCCAGCCTCCATTACTGTTCACGGTTTAAGATTACTGAGTTTTATCCAACCAGGTAAGTTTCGCTAAAATGAGCTATAATGTCTGCGCTAAAATGTACTTTTAACTTTTTCTCTAACATAATCTGCGACCGTACAACAGTTTTATCTTGTTTAAATGAAATTAAAATCGATACGGAAATTCATTGTATTTTGTTAATATTAAAAGACTTACGATGCACATTATTGTAAAATCCAACGATAAAACAAGCTAAAACTACATCGTTCAATGACATTATCTTAACAACACATAAGTTTTATTACGTGGTTTGCACTTCTTATCTATGCACACATGTACAACATGCACTTCGAATATATTGAGTCAACAAATTTCATGGTTTCGTGGATTTCATGTTATTGAAAATGATTGATTCAAAGATATATTTCTGTCTCCTAAACTTTGTTCATAAATCTTGATTCATAATCTAAAAGCTAATTCTGCAAACCTCAAAAGGGGTGCGGAAGATACCATTAAAGGATATTCAAACTCGTAAGTCGAAGACCAACTGACAACTTCATGGCAAAAAAACCTACCAAATGACATACGACAGTCTACAAATCATAACATTGAAAATTGAAGACTGAGCAACACGACCCAACAAAATGATGATTTCGGTTGCTTCCAAAAACGACTAAATAATTACAAGGAAGATGGGATTAGGTTTTCTCATAAGGTTCAGTGTAAACTATAAGTTAGGTCACCAATGCAACGACATGTTCGAATTCCACTCATCCAATACTAAGAAATTTACTCTAGATCGTACCATAACTATCATTCTTTTACAATTGAAAAAATAAGCATTAATTCTTGAAAACTAATTTATTATACAAAAGCGGACGATGACCTGTTTTAACTAGGGATGTCAACGAGTACTCGAGTATCGCTC